AGGTGGGTGGATCACGATGTCAGGAGTTCGAGACCAGCCTGGCCAACACGATGACATCCTGTCTCTACTAAAAATACAAAAATTAGCTGGGTGTGGTGGTGTGCACCTGTAATCTCAGTTACTCGGGAGACTGAGGCAGGAGAATCGCTTGAAATTGGAAGTCGAATGTTGCAGTGAGCCAAGATCACACCACTGCACTCCAGTCTGGGCGAAAGAGTGAAACTCCATCTCAATAAACAGAACAAAACAAAAAAAGAATTTCTCATATCTTTGATACAGCAACAATTGATCCCATACTTTCACACACGAATCCAATAGGAATAAAGAAACAGCAGGAAACTATTTCAGAGTTGAATGACATCATTATTTACTTTTCAAAAAGTCTGTAATATTTTTCAAGAAATAAAGTATACTTTGAATGTAATTGTAACTGCAAAAAACCTTCTGATCCTCGTAAAGTTATATACAAATAATTTTTCTACCTTTAGTTTTATTTTCTATACTCAGCCCTCTGATTTAGTATATCTGACGTGTCAGTGCCTTATGTATTTCTACCACAAATTCTCTGATATTTACACAGACTTAATTATGGATTAAATATTTTTTACTTTTACTGCATCTGCAAAAACATTCTAGTATGAACTTTTTGTGTGCGTATTACAAATTTTTACTCTCTATTTACATACCTTAGGTTCAGTGCTTAATAACATTAGTAGCTTTGCTATGTGATCTGCTTGATGAAATATTGATTTGGGGTAAGTATTCCCAGACCATCTTAGGGCATTCTGTTAATATGTTCTGTTCTTTTCCCCTCCCTGCCAGGATTTCACATTTCATCTTAAAGGATTCATTGGTTCACTTCTACTATGTAAAAATATCTTTATATCTTATATTCCCATTGTTACAATAAAAGTTTATATTATAGCAGTTGATATGCAAAGTATGTGTTAAGCAAATTGCATATTAGATGTTTTATTCAAATGTCAAAGTAAAACTTTGTCAGTTAAACAGCTCATAACAATACCAATAAATTTCAAGTTGTCAAATTGTATGTATTGTTAAGATTTATGTCCCAATACAGGGGCAGTAATCTTTTTAAAAGCCACAGAGTATCGAAATGGTTGTCTAATAACTGAAACATATGTAGCCTTCTAGCTATGTAGCAACAATTGCCACTGGATGTTTTCCTGCATCCTATTTTCTTTTTTCCAAGGTAGGTATTTTGACAGAAGTGACGAATCTCATCTTTTAAAAATTAAAATCACGATGTTTAATAAAACATGTTTAATGTTACTTAGAATCGACATGATGAATTTATTGTTTTTTTTCTTTTTTTTTT